ACCTGGCCGCGGGTGGGTGAATCAAATATTCACATCCACCAAATCCTCGAACACCGTCAGCTTTTTCAGTGGCCTACAATCGTTGCATAACTAGACAACTGTATCGCATTCGACACGGTTGACATATATTAAATCTTCTCACTTGCTGCAATTCCGAAACATGCACTTAATCTATTTCGCAAGACCACAAGCCCAAACAAAGGAAACAGTCAAAAGGACCTTGTTCAAATAACGTGTTAACCGCAGTCAAACTGGAACTGCACAAAGGCGGCGGGCCATGATCATATTTATAAATCACCTCATGACTTTTGACTTCTAGAATTAGGTCAACTACCAAAATTATTAGTGCCACGCTTATCTAGTCAATCACTAGGAGGCGTTGGAACATTCCAGTAATTTCGAAATTGATGCGGCAGTCGATTGCAATCGATGAATCACTGAAGTAATTATTTTTCCGGGGAATTCTTACTTTCTCCCCAACAACAGACCAGTACTTTGGCGTTGTTTGCTAAAGTAGGTGATCCTATAAAATTGCACTGCCATCCTGTGCGCACTCTACTTCCACATCTCCGGCAGAGTGAGGGTCTGTGTCACGCTTTCGTCGTCCATCGCTTACAATAGCGATGTACGACAGCGCTGCCCAGTGTCTCAGTTCTTCTTCAATTTTGCAATTGAAGTCCCTCTGTCCCTAGCTCTAAACGGTTACCAACATTTCGGTCTACAGCTACTACTGGGCAAGACAACGACTTAGATTATGCCATTGATATCGCCTTACTTTGTGACGACTCACAGTGCATGCAAACCATTCTAAACGGTTTAGCGATTGATGCATCTATGTACGGAATGTACTTTGCCTCGTCATATGATAAAGTGCTGCTTCAGGATTGGCACTCGCCCGTTCCCGTACTCAGTATTGAAGGTACACGGCTTGAACAAATGCATAGCTTTATTTACTTGGGTAGCTACGTGTCTGCTAGAAAATTTCTCTTCGCATCACCAACGTTCGGTCGGCATTTGTCAACTTAAAAGACTTGTAATGTTATGGGGATGTCTCCATCTTGGTGAAGGGGTATGTTTACAATGCAACTGCTCGGGCGGTGTTGCTATATGGTAGCATAATTATCATCATCAGTATACACGTTAACTAGAGATGGAAAACACCTCAGCTACTGTGCCGCAATACATAAAAGAAAAAAGGAAAATATGCAACCGGTGCAAACCAGTTGAGCTACCGGTGACAGAAAGGCATCGTTCCGGCAAGTTACCAGCCGGCAGCTATGCAGTAAAATAATTTACTATGTACAATTATATAGTGATAAGAAATGATATCGTGATTGCATAGGGAGACTAAGAGGGATGGGGTGCGACAAACAAACTCACAGCACGAACGCCACTGACGTCGGCTCCTAGCCACTTCAACAAGTGTATTCAGCCAAACGTGTTCATCGTCTTTCGGACCCCAACCATGGAGCCGAGACGCTCCAACTGAGGCCAGCTCAGAAGTGAGGGCCTTCATTCCTCTCGACCAAGTTATGGCTTGGTCACCCCTCCTATTCTTCCATCCACACTCCCGGCGCGCAAACAATGCACGTCGCAGGACTCGGTGGGCTGCCATGCGTGACACGTGGCCCAATCACCGGAGCCTGGTGCGTGAAATGACGATGCTGAGCGGTTCACTTTCTTTTCCTGTGCCATAGATAAGGCTTCGAACACGCATGTCAACAGTCATGGCAAAGTAAAGCATGGCATCCTTCCACTTTTCACAGCAGGCGGTAAAGTAAAAGGCGCCGAAGAAGCAGCCATTGCCCTGCGGCTACAATACGCCCCAATTTTCTAACTCACTGCATCCACCTGTCCCACAGCGTAAAGCAATTTACCGACTCCATTGTATACACATGTCATTTTCAACGCAGCAATTATGCCAAAGAAGTTACTCTTACTCCGGGAGCAGACAACATCCACCCAAAAGCACTGAAGGCTGCGGCCACTAAGCTAGCTGAACCACTGTCACAGTTCTTCCAAAGATGATTCGATGAACAGAAAGTGTTCACCATGCTGAAGCGTGGCTTAATAATCCCAGTATTCGCAGGTGGTATCCGTTCAGATCCTTCTAACTATTGTCCAGTGACTCTTCTCTCTATGCTCTCGGTAATGGAAGCAGTCGTCGCTGAGGCTCTAATGGACTAGCGGAAAAAATGCAACATCCTGGCACCGGAGCAGCATGGTTTCCGTCAAGACCGTTCATGCACAACCAACCTGCTAATGGCATGAGGTAGTTAGGTGGAAGTGGTTGATGATGGAGTCGAAGTTGACATCATCTAGCTGGACTTCTCCAAAGCTTTCGACCTCTTGGATGACCACATCCTACTTCACAGGCTACAGGATTAGGGAATCAGAGATCCTATTCTTGGTTGGATTGGCAACTTCCCTCACCAACGCAAGCTTCAAGTGCGTGTTAGGGGATCACTCTCTAACCCAACAGGCGGAATGTGATGTCCCACAGGGCTCGGTGCTGGGACCGCGCTTATTCCTGATGCTTTCAACGACCTGGCAAGACTTATCTTTTCAAACTTCCTACTTTTCGCCGATGATGTCAAGGTATGGCGGGTGATTAATAGCAATGAAGATCACGATCTACTCCAACCTGACCTAGATTGTTTTTATGAATTGTCAACGAGGAATCTGCTTCAGTTGAACATAGCTAAGTGCAAGGTGATCCATCTGCAGCACCAGCCGGTGAGCGTTTCCAAGCTTGAAGAGCACACCCCTTGAAGTGGGCCTCTCACGAGCGTGACCTTGGTGTACTGGTCCAGGAAGATCTCGGGTGTTCTAAACAATCAGGGAAGGCGTCGAGAACCAGCAATCAACACTTCGGCCTTCTTCGTAGAGCATTCAGTCGGTTTGAACCCTCAGTATTTCCCAAAATGCTTAACGCCCATGTGCGACCGCACGTGGAACATGCTATCCAGGCATGGCAGCCATGGTAGAAACAGGAGCATGTTGTTCTCGAGACTCCTAAAAGAAGGGCAAGCAAGAACCTCGGGGGTTCTTTTACCTATCCTATCAGCTTGGACTGAAATCTCTAAGAATGTACAGCAGTCGATAACTGGGTTCGCGGGGGGATCTCATAATGATTTACCAGATTCTGTAGAACCCAAACAACATTTGCCGTTCGCTGCTGAATTTGAACCACAATACTAAGCTCACAGGTTGTAATCTGAAACCGAAAATACAGTAAAGTCGGTTGGAATGCCGTAGCAATTTCGTCTCCCTCGGCGTTTGTCGGTCTTGGCAGACACTCCCAAATTATGTCGTCTGTGCCCACAATCTGGTGATATTTAAAAAACGAGTTGACGATGCATCGTCTCATTTGCATTTCATTGTATAACTTCTAAGCCAGTGGGCTAAAAAACGCAACAAAAGAGTACCTTGCCAAAATCCTAAGCAGTGGATTTATGGCTTGTACATATAATACGCGAACATCTCCGCTATCCTACATAAATCTGCTGTGAATAAACCAAAGGACATTTCACTTTATCATGCTATTTTATTTGCGCAATAATTTCCATCATACGGGCCTCCTAAGGCATGGTTTCTCACACGTCATAAATCAAGGTTTCATAGTTTCAATGTTCCGGAACAATTATCCTCATCAGCATCAGCAACAAAATAAGGATCATCATCATCATCATCATCATCATCATCATCATCATCATCATCATCATCATCATCATCATCATCATCATCATCATCATCATCATCATCATCATCATCATCATCATCATCATCATCATCATCATCATCATCATCATCATCATCATCATCATCATCATCATCATCATCATCATCATCATCATCATCATCATCATCATCATCATCATCATCATCATCATCATCATCATCATCATCATCATCATCATCATCATCATCATCATCATCATCATCATCATCATCATCATCATCATCATCATCATCATCATCATCATCATCATCCTCATCAGCATCATCTGCATCCACCATCATCATCATCATCATCATCAACATCATCATCATCATCATCATCATCATCATCCTCTTCGTCATCATCATCATCATCATCATCATCATCATCATCATCATCATCATCATCATCATCATCATCATCATCATCATCATCATCATCATCATCATCATCATCATCATCATCATCATCATCATCATCATCATCATCATCATCATCATCATCATCATCATCATCATCATCATCATCATCATCATCATCATCATCATCATCATCATCATCATCATCATCATCATCATCATCATCATCATCATCATCATCATCATCATCATCATCATCATCATCATCATCATCATCATCATCATCATCATCATCATCATCATCATCATCATCATCATCATCATCATCATCATCATCATCATCATCATCATCATCATCATCATCATCATCATCATCATCATCATCATCATCATCATCATCATCATCATCATCATCATAAGCTCGTTATTTGCAATGCTCGAGCCTGCGATGAACAGTGGACTCTGGACGCTTCCCAAAGCGCAATCGATCTGCGCCACACGCCATGATGCCTCATGTGAAGTTGGATTCACTAACCTGCTAACACCCGATGTAGTTTGCTCGTTTGATATGCTGCTGGATGATTTGGTATCGGTCACTCAACAATCGATTCGTGCCTGCATGTGTACACACACACATACACACATTGGGTTGATTGACTGCGATACGAACTGCCGTGTGGCTTAGAGAAGAACATGTTCGCTTTAACAAGCAATTTGATCTTGCTTTAAATGCGATTGATCGAGATGAGGTTTAGTGAAGGCAGGTTAATCCGTGTGAAGTGGCGGTGAAGCCATCGCCAATGTTAGTGAACCTAACTTGAACTTAGTTTCCGCAACTATATGGAACGTGATGACGGCTGAGCATATAGTGTTTCAATCGCACAGATACAAATGAAATATGAATTTCAAAGGTAACCTACGAATCACTCGAATATCCTCAAGAAAATCGGACTGAGCGCAACTCAGTGCGTGCTTTCCTACCGGAAGTCCATCGGTATCCAGTACATCCGTCGCCTCATTACCTGACCGCACTCCAAAGCGGAAAACGGTGCAAGCCACTGGAAAGACTACGTGTTTCCAAGTAGAAGGTGGCATGGAGGTCATCCAGTTGGCCATGAATTTCATTCGACTCACACAACAACGGATGTGTTTAGAGTCAGTCGCAAGGTCAATCATTGCAGGGACTGCTGCACAGTCGAGGTGAAGCTGTTTGTCTTGCACGATCAATATTTCTGTCTCATTTGCACCACAACTGAGCGTGAACGACCCAGGTGATAGGCCGAACAAACGCGATAAGTGCGCCCCATGTTCAACTGAAAAGTTCATCCACTTACGGGGATTGCGGTGTAATACACAGCTGGAAGGGGCGGCATATTCACAGTCAGCATTTTCACATATATTGATGCTGTCGTTCATCCCCAGGACGGGCCCATATTTAAGCACAAATTCCGCCTTCACTATCCCTTGCACTGCGAGCAGAACTGACAAGACAAAACGACAATCCATCCAGAGAGCCCAGCAATAGACAACTGGAGTATTGGGGTTGGTATCGATCCAGCTTGTTAGGTTGATTTGTTAGCCTCCCAGTCATGTGACGCACGGGGACAACACGATTGGCGAAGCATCCAGTGGCAGTAGTCACTGACCATTGTGGGATCAAAATCGCTAGAGACTAACGTACGTACCGCAGTAAATTTCGTGCACATATCAAAATACAGGACAAACAAAAGCATACAGTGTAGAGGGCACTATTAGAGTTATGTACTGCGGCGGGGCTTTAAATCGGCCTTGCCGTGTTTACCGAACATCGCTTTTACAATATCCCCATGGATCCATTAATATTCCCGGAATATTTCAACATTGACCTTTGTCAAACTATATATAATGTCACCACTGCTCCCTTTCGCTTACTTTTTGCGAAAAACTATGTTGCACATTTAAAGACGGACGGTCCCGATTGGAAATCTAGCTTGCAATGTTGGCCTGTCAACAGAATGCAGCCTTAGAGTATATTGTCCACAAATGTTTAATTTCTGCGCATTTATACTGACCGTTTATACAAGTGACACCTGTACACAGTGTCTTTTTTCCATTCATACAAATTCACATTACGGCTAGTGTAATTTTAGCCAATGCGTAGTTGATATAGTAAAGTGCTGAAAATGTGGTTGGCGGCATCCGTTTCCGGATTTGCCTGTCACTGTGACCAGCCACAGGACACCTGCGCCTACAGAGCGACCATGCGTGGTTTGCTCTGCACCACCCACAGCTCCATCCATACACCCATATCCAGTGAAAACACGAAGGAATGGGACCTGGAGGCATGTGGATGGGAGCCACGTTTCATCAACGGCGACGGCTCACACTCCTTCACAGGCACACACAAGCACGCTGTATGTGGGAATCAATCGCACACAAGGAGGTGGCTGGACCGTCGTTCGCTCCGCACACAAACCGTGTGCATGGAACCACGCTTCGGAACTAGCACGGCCACGAGAACCGTGAACCCCGTCACCTCCAGCAACGACCAACTGTCTCCTAGAACCAGTATAGACGAAGTGGTGGGTAAGCACCTTGTC